GGAGGGCTCGTAAACTGGGCCCTGCCTCAGTTTCTTCCCAGTCCAGGCCCTGCCTTAGAATGGGAGGCAGCATCCTTACCAGCTTGTGTTGCCTGCATGGCCCCGTCACCTCAGGGTCTCGGGCACCCGGGCACAGGCATGAGGGGTGTTTTTGAGCTTCCAGGTCTACAGGCTCAGCCATTTGGAATCCAGAGCCTCACAGGCTGGCCCTGTCCACCCTGGGCAGTGCTAGTTGTGGCAGTGTCCCTGTTAGCGGGGACTGGCCTGTCACTGGAGGACGGCTGCAGAGTAGTCATCGCTTAAAAGGTGAAAAACGAAAACAAAAAACAGGCCCCATGGGTTGTTTTCGTTTTTAGGCTTGTTGTAGGGCACATGCACTCACCAGAGAGAGAGGGTGAGCAGAGGGACAGGGAAGGTGAGAATCGCCCACCCCCAGGGCCAGCCCGCTCCCCCGTGTCCCCCTCCTTTCAGAATTGTGGGCAGGAACGCACGTGCCGGGCGTGTGCTCCAGTCGCTGCGCCCGGGATGGAAACTGCAGCTGGCCACGCGGGGTGCAGCCGCGTGCCCCTTGTGCCGCTGCTGGCGCCCAGGTGACGCTGATTTTAACGATGTGCTCTTAACCCAGTACATCCTCAACGTCACTTCGACATGTCGCCAATGTAAGGACACGGCCGAGATAGTCGCACTCCCTTTCCTTCGATCCCAGCGTGTTTCACCCTCAGGGCCACCGCACGGCGGCCCTGCCAGCGCTTGAGGTCCCACGCCAGTGGCCGGGGTCGCAGGTGCAGGCGCCCGCGGGCGGAAACGAGCGCCTATAAACTACACTTCCCGGCAAGCCCCACTTCGACATGTCGCCAATGTAAGGACACGGCCGAGATAGTCGCACTCCCTTTCCTTCGATCCCAGCGTGTTTCACCCTCAGGGCCACCGCACGGCGGCCCTGCCAGCGCTTGAGGTCCCACGCCAGTGGCCGGGGTCGCAGGTGCAGGCGCCCGCGGGCGGAAACGAGCGCCTATAAACTACACTTCCCGGCAAGCCCCGGGCGCGGCCCACGCACTTCCGGCGCGGCCGCGGAGGGGGCTCCGCCAAGGAACCACATCTCCCGGCGTCCTCCAGGCGCGCCCCGTGACGCACTTCCGGCGCGGCGGCGCGC